TGCGAGAGAACTCGCGTGTGAAATGCAAACGCTGTTCCTGAAAGAGGAGAGATTATTGCCAAGACCAGATGCTTAATACCAATTCCCTGCAGAGCAACTGGAGCGCATTGAGGAGGGCCTCGACCAAATCAACAAGGACATGAAGGAGGCCGAGAAGAACCTATCTGACCTGGGCAAGTGCTGCGGTCTGTGCAGCTGCCCTTGCGAAAAGTACGCACGCACACACAAGCACGCACACACGTACACGCGCAAAATAAACCACACTAGGGCTCCCTGCACCCCCCCCCCCGACCTGGGCGGTCTGCTTGCCAACTCGTTCTGCCGTACGCCTCACGTGTGCATAGTCACTCACCCCAGCTGCTAGGTGCCTCCATTATTCCCGTTTGTGCCTCCCAAATGTCCCCACGTGTCCCTCTGCGCAGCAATCATTCATCCCCTGCTCTCCCCCGCATCCTGGCCTTGCCCCCGGGGAGCTCACGGCCCCTCGCTCTGCTGCCGCTGTTCCCGTGAAATCCCCTCCAGGCTAAAGAATTTCGAGTCTGGCGACGCCTACAAGAAGGTGTGGGGCAAGAAAGAGGATGGCGTTGTGTCCAGCCAGCCGGCACGCGTCTGCGACGAGCGGGAGCAGATGGCCATGAGCGGCGGCTACATCCGGAAGTACGTGGCGACGTTCTAAACCGCTCCGCCAGTTGTCCCAGACCAGAATACAAACATTTATACTGCAGAAGGAATCCGATGAGCTATGAAGCTTTTCTTTTCATGTCCAGTAGGTGCACGAGGTCAGAACGTTACAACAACCAAGCGATAAAAAAACACAATATGAGTGCAAAGTATAGGAGGGATAAACACACAAGAGCGCTGCGGGTCTTGCAGTTGGCACTTTGCGCCCTGCTTAAGGCAACACTGGCACAGGGCTCGCGCAGTCTTGCGCCGAACAGGGACCCAGATCTGCAAATGAACACCTGGCAGTTCGCCAGCATTGGTTGCTGATGAGACGCTGAATGCCAAAGCCGGTCCAGTTTCCTTTTGTTGAACCAATGCTGCTGGAAGAATGTTCTTAATTGGGTGTATAATTAGGCGCCACAGTGGCGATGTGTTAACTACCTCGCCTGGTATACAGGAGGTCATGGGTTCGAGCATGACCCTGACGCCTGTACACTTGGAGTTTGCGTGTCCTCCCATCGCGTGGATTTTTTTTCTTCCACATTTAGAAACATGGCTGCTGTACATTTCCACACGATAGGCCACTTGGCTGAGTGATCATTTCTGGCCAGGTCGCTTCTAGCTCAGTGGGCCTTATCTGGTGAAATAAAAAAAAAATTTGCTTTAAAGTTTATCAACATCGCCATCCAATTGCAAACCTGAGCAGGATACACCTTGAAATAGGGTCTTGAGGCTCAGGCGTTTCTGCGTAATTAAGCACGGCGATGATAGCGACTCGTGTTGCGACGTCAACTACCCGTGACACGGCCGCCCGCAACTGGTGTGCAGGGTGACCAACGACGCACGCGAGACCGAGATGGACGATAACCTGGAGCAGGTGAGCGGCATCATCGGCAACCTGCGCCACATGGCGCTCGACATGGGCAACGAGATCGACACACAGAACCGCCAGCTGGAGCGCATCACCAACATGGTACGAGCCGCACCACCCCCACCGCACCACCATTGCCACACCGTGCCGCACCACATCTTACCATGTAGCACCACACCATGCCACGCCGCACCACACATTACAATGTACACCACACCACACCTCACCACGCCGCACCACACATTACCATGTCGCGCCAGACTCTACCTCACCATGCCTCACCACGCCTCACCACACCATACCACACCACACCTTACTATGTCGCACCACACCATACCTCACCACGCCGCACCACACATTACCATGTCGCATTACACCATACCTCATCATGCCTCACCACGCAACACCATACCACACCTCACCACGCCGCACCACACCTTACCATGTCGCACCACACCATACCTCACCTCGCCTCACGTCACCTCAACGCCGCCTCACCTCACCACGCCATGCCCCCCCCCCCACCCCCCCTCACCAAGAGTCGTGTATCTTCAGCCCAGAGCCGGTCACCCAGTCCATGGGCAGCACCAGTCTTCAAGCCCGGGGGCCCCGTCTGATGGGTGGGAGGGTGGGGTGGTTCTGGGGGACTACGATGCAGGGCGGGGGGAGGGAAGTGCGAGGCTGAAGGTGTTGCGCTAACAATAGTTTGCCGTCTCTACCGTGAGCGTGCCCGCTTGCCTTTAATCCCCGTGTCCACGCGGAGTTGGTGGGGGGGCAAGTGGGCGCTGCAGGACACGTGGTCTCTCTCACTTGCCCATGTTGTACTGCCGCAGCGGGGGCGCTGTAAATGGTTCCCACGCTGCGCTTGATCGCCGGTTCGGTTCGCTTCCATCTTCCGGAGCGGCAGTTGAAATAAATAGTGAAAGTTTCTCAACTGCCCCCCCCCCGCCCCACACACCGCTGCCTCCCCACTCTCCACCCCGCGGTATAAATGGGTTCACCACAGTTGATTGACAGGTCGAACACGGTGGGGTAATGTGTGTCCCCCCACTATGACTGGCCAATGTGAAAGAGGAGACCTAACACCCTATCGAGTTCGCCACGCGTGGGGGGAGGGCACCTCTTGTACCCTAGCACCGCATAAAGAGTCACACTCCCTGCACGCATGAGGGGTGACAACAGCTCTTGCCAGTCGCATTTCTCAGCAAAGCGTGACACGGGGTGCAAAGGAACTGAAGTCGAGCCAGAGATTCCGAGTTGTCTTCAGAGTCCCAATGGAGGGCGGTTCTCGCGCCCGCTCGTCGCACCCAACAAGGGACACGGACTTCTGGACAGCCCCACACATGGTGCTCACGAACAGCATGCCCCCCCCCAACAGTCTGTGAAGGCTATACGGGGGCTCTTTGTCTTGGTGGTGGGGGGGAACGGAAGTACAACGGTTAGCACGCTGCACTACGAACCCGAGTTCGATTCCTGCTCACGGCCAATACCGGTGACGATAACCTGAGTCGGTCCTGGGCCTCCGCGAGGTCGACTCAGCCTCAAATGAGTACCTGGTGCGGTGTGTAAACATCGCCAATGGGGAGACAAAGGCGGCCGGGCGTGCTCCTGGCTACCGCACCCCCTCGTGTGCTGTGCCGGCCTTCATCGGTGCTTGCTAACAGCACTTGCCCCAACAGTCTGTCAAGGCTATACAGGGGGGGGATCTTTGTTCTTGTGTCATTACGTCTTTTGCTTTGTCAGTCTTCGGCGAGCCTGCAGGTGAATTGTGACAATAACCGTCCCCACCACCCCCACCCCTCCGCAGGCCGATTCCAACGAAGCCCGCATCAAGGAGGCCAACACACGCGCCACCAAGATCTTGGGCAGTGGCTAGAGGATGGGGGGGCCCGGGCCGTGCCCCCCCCCCCCGCAACACCCCCTTCCCACCGTCGGTGACCCCACCCAACCCCCAAACCTCCTTTTCTTAATGCCGCACATCGTGTAAGGTGTCTTACCATAGCTTTAGACGAGCATGCCGTCCCGTGTGGAGGAGCACACAGCACACCAGTTCACCGCGAGCAGCAAACACGGCAGAGGCGACTGGCGGATTGCCACGCTGGCAGTCAAGATGCAACGCCGCTCGTAATGCAGAGGTTACTGACAAATTCGAAGAATAAGAAAAGAATGCTTTAAGTTAGTTAATTTTACATGTTGTAAATAATGACTGGGACCAGCAAGATGTAACGTCTTGAAATGTAGCAACTTTTTAAAAGGGCGCAAAAAACGAGCTCGTTTATTTATTTATTTACAGCACCACCCTCGGGCTCGGCCGCAGCCCGCCCTGCACTCGCCTGTCGCAAGTCGCGCACAGACAAAAGCGTCTCTTCGTTGATTCACTCACTCCTTTGTTGATACCTGCAGTATATATACAGTACACACCGTCAGTATATACCAGTGCGTTTGTAACACACACGTCCGTGTCAGTATTAACTGTTTCATTTTGGAGGCGTCGTATTGTTTAGCCGTTGCTCGTCGTCGTCCCCTACCCCCCCCCCCCCCCCGGGTGGATTTAAGAAGCTGGCCGGGCCCTGGCTTCGCGCTCCTCTCTCTGTCACCGTCCCCCCTCAGCCCAGGGTCCAGAGACCCGGGGCCCGACCGCCAGGGAGCACAATCAGGCCGGGTGGCCACAGGGGCCTCTTCCGCCCCCTCTCCAACCCCGCCAGCCCCTGGTCTCTGGCGGCCACGCCGGCCGGGCCTGGGCCACCGCTTGCACGGGCTGCTGGTTCGTGTGATTTACGGCGATTCTTGCGAAAGCACAGAGTAGCTGCCGCCGGGCTGCCGCTAGAACCCCGACTGCTGAACCCCTGTAGACCCCGCTGGGCACGCATCGTAGTGCCGTTGCACCACTCCCCCACCCGCTCCCCTCTACCTGGCCAGCACCCCGGGCCATGAAAGCTCTTCTGCGCTGTCCTCCCCCACCGCCACCTACTTATGTTTCACCCAGAATGCATGCCAAGTAGCTGTTACCTGTAATCTCAATTCTGAATGTGAATCCCTAAATGTACGAAACATATCTCTATGCATGACGAAAATGTAAAGTAAAAACGTACAGACGAGGCACTAAATCTAGGCATTTTTGTGAGTTTTTGAATGTAACACGTGTCGGACCGCTCGCTGTCTGGAATAAACGCGGCGGTGAAAGAGACTCTCCCAATGCATGGTGGCTACGCTCGTTAGTGCCGGCCTTGATGGGGGGGGGGCTCCTGTTCTGTCCGTGATGTGCCCGGGTTTTGTCGGTGCTTCGTCTGGGAATTGGCATTTCGTAATCGGGTGCCAGGATTGGACTTGCATTGGGCGGAACTCTACGTCACAAGTGGCAGCTTGCTGATGCAGTCTCAGCCGTGGCTTAAACCTCTCCCCCCTCTCGCGCCACATTCATTGCAGTACAAAGTGAGACTACGTCACCAGCCAATGAGACAACATATTGATGCAACCGATTTTACTATAAAGGTAGCAACCCTACATTGTAAGCACAGTAGCCGTGACAATGACAACTCCGAGCGTCTCCAGCAAACAGGACGGGGCTGTGCCAACCAAAAAGCCCCAGCGCATGGGCTTCTTGCTCCTCGGCCACCCATAGGCATTTTAACTGCTCGTGTGGTTTAAGTGCCAGGAACGGACCGATCGATGCAGCACATACATGCACGCATACAGATACACAGCTACCACATTTGATGCGAGAGCGAAACCTTTCAGACTTGCGCGCTGACATTTTTGTGGCAACTTTAACAACCCAGCATCAGACTTTTGGCAAAGTCAGAAAAACCCATTCCAGGTCTTCAAGCTGGGAGCCCAGAAGTGCAATCTGAGGTGTGGACACGGTCCACTATTTACCAAGGCTCACAGGGGACTCTACAGCCCCCCCCCCATTCACACTTGAGCCCCCTAGTCACTGCTACATGTACACTGAGGCAGAAAAAATATTACATTCGGTCTGTATTTAAAATTGTAACTGGAGAAATCTATTTCCTGTGGTCTACAGGTCCGATCAACAGAACAGCAGCAGGTGATAACCTGACATTCGTGTGCTGCAGAGCCCATTCCAATGTGCCTCCACAGTTAAGATTTCTCTCACCAATTTAATTCAATCCAGTAGCTATATACACGTAATTCTGAATTGATTTTTCTGCACTTGCAATCTCAACAGGCATGTTTATATCGATCAAAGCGCTTCTTCATTACACATGACGCACGGCACAGACTATGCAATCCAGCTCACTGTCACGCGGCTGACCTCTCGCCGACTGCGCTGCGATGAAGGGATTGAGCCAGGCTCTACAACGCCGATCGTGTGCTCGGCGAGCACATGGCAGCAAGGCAAAATAAACGAGGGGGCAAACGTGAAAATCTGGTGCCCCATGCGGGATCAGGAGTGCCCATAAAAATCTTATCCCCGTTTTTGGACACCAATGTTGCACACCTCACAATGACACATGGGCTTGCAAGACATTAAGTTAAATGACAGTGGGATCTGTAATGTTCTGGTTATCTCGACTGGGCTTGGGGGCAGCTTGCTCGGGCATTGCGCTGCCACCTTCCCCTGGTCGCGCAGATCCCTGCGTTGTGCTGACCGTGCCGCCTGAGACGTCGCCATCAGGATGCTGTTACTGCTGCCCACTCTAGTTGAATTTCTTCTTGGCTGCTGTGAATCTCTCCATGTACTGCGGAATACAACCATGACAAGATATTAAAATCAAGGAGTTTAACAATGAGGGACAGTCACAAAAACATCATTGAATATGACGTTGAATTTTGCCCTGGACAACGAGATTATTTCAAGTGGGCATTGAAGCAGCGCTTACCATCTGCTTACAGCCCTGAGACTGAGCCAGTGGTAGAAATTCCACATTTACATTGGCATGGGTGAGTCTGGCCACAGGACCACTATTAACTCCCCACAAATGTGTATGCATTCTATCAGCAACTGAGGGGAAATGGGCCGAGTCAACCCCCAAACCAGGATTTGACCTCGCAAGCTTCCGATTGCCACGTATCCTGTGAATTAAAATACTTTTCTCAAGCACAATCAAGTGAATAAAAGTACATGCATATGTAGCTCCTCCTAAGGCTCTTGTGGTCGGGGCACCATATGCATACCCAACATCAGGAATGCTTTTACCTCTCAGAAGGCAATGATGTGAAAATCTAGAAGTCAAGTTGTGACCCAACCACTACTACTGCATGGCCCGACAGCGCTATGGGGGCCTGACAGAACTGTGTTCAAGCTGTGCGTAATACAAACCCGAACCCAGTTGGGTACCTGCTCATATCCATCCAGCTCTCTAAATTTCTTCATCTCAAAGAGGTTTCCATCGAGGGTGAGCAGAGAGACAATGGAGGAGGTGAGGAGGGCGGGTGGCACGGCTGGAAGCTCCAGGCAGTTTTCCTCCAGGCGAAGCACTTTCAGCCGCTGGCAGGTCGCCACATCAGCCGAGATGCGGGAGATCTGAAACACAGGGATCAAGCCTTGTTGACAACCTTGTCGAGCACATTGCGTGTGATTTGCATGCTGGTGGGCAGCCAATTTATCTCAACGGATTGCTGTTTTGGCAGGGCCAATGGAAACATTGCATAGACAATCTTGATTTGAAGCTTTGATTATTGCAGGAATCTATATTCTTTGGTTCTTTCGATAAAGTCACGTAGGTATAAAATAAATCACGACGTTTCGATCGCAACACAAGCGGTCATCCTCAGGCGGAAAAAATATAATCCGCCTGAGTATGACCGCTTGTGTTGCGATCGAAACGTCGTGATTTATTTTATACCTACGGGACTGACTTTACCGAAAGAACCAAAGAGTATTGCATAGACAGTGGATTGCTCACACAAGCTTCAGTGGCCCTCAAGTCACTCATTGCTCACTCATCATAACTCAGATTCTGACATCCCAAAAAACGTATTGGGATAAACGAGGTTATTTGGACAAAATTAAACATTTTACAGCCTTGTAATGTGGGGTGCACCCCAATGGGTTTACACAATATAAAATAATCCAGAGTCGACTGATGGGACGCTGAATTTTGAAATGGTCTAAAGGTTTGCTTGTGCCGAACCAATACTGCTAAAATTATGCACTCCAAGCAGGTGTGGCTAATGAGATGTATATTTTAAAAAATGCCTTTCACATTTTACGTGGAATTGATATGAAGCATAGCCTGCGTAGTTACCATTACCAGTACGCTTAGCATATGTTATCAAATCGTAAACCCTGTAAAAGCCATAAATGATGAGCACTTGAGCTCCACCTGGTTCTGGTTGAGGTTGACCTCGACAGCCTGCAGCTGCCCAATGCCATCGGGCACAGCCTGGATCTTGTTTCTGGACAGGTCGACAAGGTCCAGATGACGCAGTGAGCACAGCTGTAGGGGGAAGGCCGTCAGCTGGTTGCCGGACAGGCAGAGGGTCTTGAGGGCGCACAGCTGGTCCAGGCTGGAGGGAAGGCTCCTCAGCAGGTTGTTGTTCACGTGGATCGACTCGAGCTTCTTCACCTTGCACAGCTCCTCGGGAAGGCTGGCTGAAACGAGGGCAGAATCTCACCACGATGGCTGTGTTGTGAAACGTTTCACGTGGCCTCCCTAAGGGGGCTCTGCGAGGCCCAATAACGGTGAGCGCAAACAAAAACGGCGCCCATAATACAGGTTTGTTTTAAAGGTTAGATCGCGTAAATGTGTGTCGTTAAACCCGCCACCACCCGACACAGCCAATTAGTAAGGTTTGTCACGTAAAGAGCACATGCAGATTCGTTATTAGTACAGAACACCGGTGTGTTGGAGAGCAAAGCCATAACATTTAAAATCTGAGTACAAATCTGACGAGATATTTATATATTTACGCGATCTCACCCCCCCAAAAAAACCTGCATTATGGATGCTATTGTTCACGAACGGCCTACGTGTTAAAAAACCATCGTCATTTCAATGAAACGAATTGTCGTCGGAGGAGAGGCTGCAGGGTGCCGTGACCTACTCAGGCGATTGTTGCTCAGCGTGAGGCTCCTCAGCACCTGGAACTCCCCAACAAATGTCGACAACGCCGGGATCTTGTTGTGGGACAGGTCCACAGTCCGCAGGTTCTTCGCCAACTTTTGCAGATCTTCTGGAAACTGACAAGGACGCAGCAGCAGCAGCAACAACAACATCATCTTAACAGCAACAATTCGCCGGAGTTCCACGGGGGGAGCGCACGGGGTTCTATCAGCGGCATCCGCAGCGACTGCTGCCCGCGTGGCGCGGCAGGAGGCCCCAGAGCAAGCAGCCTGGTTCGACTCCCCACTGTGGAGTTTCTATGTTCTCCAACCTGTTTGTGTACTCTTGTGTTGTTGTTTTACCGGGTTCTCCGGTACCCTCCCATAGCTCGCATACACACAGGGTGTTCATTACTGTTGGCCAAACAGGATCTTCCTGCTGTCCTGCATGGAGGTCTTGGGACTCGGTGCAGCTCACCTGCGTAAACGAGCAATTGTGATCATCCCTGCAGTTGCCATGATGATGATGATGATTACTACTAATGTACAATAGGCTCTCGGTGGTGGCGCGCGGCATTGACGACGGGAAGGTCGTCTGGTGAGGGTGAGAGGAGGCGAGTGGTGAGGGTCACCTCGCTCAGGCCCTTGCCCGTGAGCTGGAAGGCCCCCGTCTTCTCCGCGGTCTCCAAGTGGGCCTTCAGGGCGCTGTTCCCCATGCCGAGGCCCTCGGCCGCGCCGGCCTCCCGCGACGAAGGCCACGGGGCTCTCCGCTAGGTCGCGAGGCGCTGGGCCGCCAGGGCCACCTCCAGCCCACGGCGACCTCAAAGCCGTCGGCGCGACATTCAGGGTCGTCTTGGAGAGGCAACAGCAGCAGCAGCAACAACAACAGCAGCAGCGGCGGCAGGAGGGATGAGGAGGAGGGAACGGAAAGCCGCGGCCTGGATCCTGCGAAGCCTCGCGGACTCGGGGCGACAACAGCGCCCCCACTCGGTGACAGCCTCCACTGTCAAATCACCACAGCCCCTAGCCACTACAGCCTCCACTGTCAAATCACCACAGCCCCTAGCCACTACAGCCTCCACTGTCAAATCACCACAGCCCCTAGCCACTACAGCCTCCACTGTCAAATCACCACAGCCCCTAGTCACTACAGCATCCACTGTCAAATCACCACAGCCCCTAGACACTACAGCCTCCACTGTCAAATTACCACAGCCCCTAGTCACTACAGCATCCACTGTCAAATCACCACAGCCCCTAGCCACTACAGCCTCCACTGTCAAATCACCACAGCCCCTAGTCACTACAGCATCCACTGTCAAATAACCACAGCTGTTAGCCACTACAGCCTCCACTGTCAAATCACCACAGCCCCTAGTCACTACAGCATCCACTGTCAAATAACCACAGCCGTTAGCCACTACAGCCTCCACTGTCAAATCACCACAGCCCCTAGCCACTACAGCCTCCACTGTCAAATCACCACAGCCCCTAGACACTACAGCCTCCACTGTCAAATTACCACAGCCCCTAGTCACTACAGCCTCCACTGTCAAATCACCACAGCCCTAGCCACTACAGCCTCCACTGGCAAATCACCACAGCCTCTAGTCACTACAGCCTCTAGCCACTACAGCCTCTAGTCACTACAGCCCCCACTCCACTGCGGTCTGTACTGCAGCTAACTGTATGGGTGTAGCAGTGAATGGCGCGTCCTACGTACTAATCGAAGAGCCATCAGCCACGACCTCAACAATGTCCCTCGCGCCGACCCAAGTCCCCACCCCCCTCCACTCACCATCCTAGGACAATGGACCCAGATCCAGAAGAACGCTGCTTCCTGAAAACTGCTGACCAACGCAGACTTCTAGAATTAACGCCTCGCGCAAGACCCAAACCACATCGCACCTCCTTGCTGGCTTGATCATTCCTCCTCGAAGACACTGGTGGTGTAACCACCAACCGCACCAGGACATCAACAGGCCTATGCGCACATCTCCGTCATGAATGAACGATTAACGACGCAAGCCACAGTGGTGCGATTGTAGCCATGCAATGCATAATATGGACCACGCAGTCAACCAAGGAATAGCAAAACAACACAAGTTGTACTCTCCTGAAGCCCTCTCGTCGTGACAGACCTTGACATAAACCATCATGCCTAGCTCCTGAACATGTCGCCATCATGTCTAGCCACTGAACATGTTAACATCATGCCTAGCTACTGAACATGTCGCCATGATGTCTAGCTACTGAACATGTTACCATCATGCCTGGCTACTGAACATGTTTCCATCATTTCTAGCCACTGAACATGTTGCCATCATGCCTAGCCACTGAACATGTTTCCATGATGTCTAGCTACTAAACATGTTAACATCATGTCTAGCTCCTGAACATGTTTCCATCATGTCTAGCTACTAAACATGTTAACATCATGTCTAGCTCCTGAACATGTTTCCATCATGCCTAGCTCCTGAACATGTCGCCATCATGTCTAGCTACTGAACATGTTTCCATCATGTCTAGCTACTGAACATGTTAACATCATGTCTAGCCACTGAACATGTTTCCATCATGCCTAGCTCCTGAACATGGCGCCATCATGTCTAGCTGCTGAACATGTTGCCATGCTTGAGAGAGTGGGAACGGGCCACTAGACAGGCAGTTATCGATTAGTCCACCAGGGGGCGATTTTGACCATGACACAAATTTGTTTTAACCCTTAACATTAATACAGCACAGTATATAACCAAAAACAACAAAATAATAATAGGATTAAAATGTCCTCTAAACGAAAAGCATATACAGTATTAAGTATTACATACCGTACAGTGCAATGGCCAAATAATTTGTTTAAAATGAGTCAAGGTCTTTAAAAGTATATATTGTACCTATAATTCACAGGCATTTGTCCATCAACTGCAAGCGATAATCACATGTTAATAAATTCATATCACATTTATTGAAAATATTGTGAAACTACTTATTATGATATATATAGTCCTTGTTCTCTACGGTATTTTTTGTGAAAGTAAAAATTAATCGAGATTTGAAGTTTTCGTGACTGCAGGGATCCATACTCTTTGGTTATTTCGGTAAAGTCACGTAGAATAATAAAACATAATATAATACAATTCTCACGACGTGTCGGCCACAACGCAAGCAGCTATGTTTCTTCACCTGAGGACGGCTGCTTGCGTTGTGGACGAAACGTTGTGAGAATTATTTTATTATGTTTTATTTTTATTATTGTATTACTTCCCTTCTACGTGACTTTACCGAAAGAACCAAGAAGATGTTGCGATTCAGTTCTGGAGGAGAATATATTTTCGAACGTGGCCTTGAATGGTAGCGCTTGAGTGACTGATGTTATGGGAATCGACACAACCTTCTAACGCAATTCCATGAATCTATATGAATCGATGTTTAGCGACACTCCGACTGTAAACATTCTCCTTTGTGGGTGGCCGCCCTAAAATATTGCGTCAACATCGCGAGTCCACCTTGTGAGTCCGTGTGCCATGCAACATGTGCCACACGCGCCTTGTGCTGACCCTCGTCCGCTGCTGCTGGAGGAGGACCTGCCCACACATTACGGGGCGTAGGGGTTGTCACCAGAGTTCACCACGCTTGACACTGCAGGGTGGTGAATGCGGGGTACATAGAAGTGCAGTGCATCAATGGCTTGGTTTTGAACTACCCTCTGCTGCCCACCACGTGGCTTCAAAGCAAAAGGCTCACGAGGTCTGTCCCTGAGTTTTAAGTTGTTTCGCGTGAACTGAACAATGAACTCGAGCGCTCGTACCGTGGCTATCCCTAAACACTGCGGAGCACGAACGCTCCTGAGAAGCCTCCCCGTCTTGGCAGCGCTCTCGCGTGTGAAGGCAGCTCGGGACCGTGCAGTGGCGATGGAAATACAATAATCGCAAAATAAAACTTAACAACGAGAAGTGAGAAGTAATCGAGGATCGCGATCACCACGTTGCGGCTCAAAGAAGTGAGCGCTGGTCAATATGTAATAATAATAATGTAATAAACGACTCTGTCAGGCTCTCTTGGTCTCCGTTGTCGTTTATTTAGGTTCTTCGTATCGGTCCTCGGCCGGACCCGCGCTGCCTCCGCCGCGCGCCCCACGCACGCTCCGTGTGGCCCGCACTCGCTGGTGGCCGCTCCGCTCTCTCCGTGTGCCCCGCACACAGTGCCAGCCGCACCGCTCGCTCCGTGTGCCCCGCACACTCCGCTAGTCACTCACTAGCCACGTGTGTCCCGCACACTTTGCTAGCCCCTCACACACCGCTAGCCCCGTCTACCCCACGCACACCGCTGGCCGACGGTGTGCGTCGGTCTTCGACCACGTGGCAGATGGCGCCGTTCCTCCCGCACTGCCCAGCGTGGCTTCCCCTATTCTCGCTCCGTTCCGACTCCCCGATCTCTTCCGGCTCTCTCCCTATATCCTTCCCATCACGTGACCCTGACTCCTCCTTCCCGTACTGCCCCCGTCTCCGCCCCCCGTTCACCTCGTCTCCCATTGGAGCCGAGGTGAGCAGCGTCTCCTCCCACACGCTCCGCCGACCAGGCTCCGCCCCCCAATGCTCCGGGCCGTGTGATTGGTGCGGAGGCCAGCAACCACCCCATTTACGCTCGCATTACATGACCCCCTCCCCCCGATGAAAAAGCCAGCCGTCCCCGGCTGCAGCAGAACAATAATAATGCGAGCAACAATATGACAATCAGGAATCACAAGACATAACGGAGATTAGAACAACAACAATTAACGAAAGGGCCCCCGCACAGACCGTGATCTTGACAGGGTTTTAGGAGCGGCGGGACCGGAACCGCCCGCCGCTGGTGGAGGCCTGTCAATCCCAACGTCTCGTTCCCCAGAGAGGCCCGTCGTCAGGGCCTCCTGCAACTGCACCCGCGGCGGGGTTGGAGGGGCAGCGGGGCCAAGTGTCCCCGTCGCCGTGGTAGGCCCACCCGGTGCAGGAATCCCTGTGTCCGGCAGGATCACAGCCGGTCCGTCTACAGGAGGCACGACAGGCGCGCTTGCAGGTTGAACAGGTAAGGTCAGTGGCGCGTCGGCCGCGACAGACACCGGCAAGGCAATATTATGAGATGACGCATCCACCCGTGGGGCCACGTAGGGTTTCAATCGAGACGTATGAACGTACCAGCGCCGCGATCCGAACCGAACACGCGCGGACTGCGGACTAGGAACCTCAATAAGCACAACCGGCCCCTGCCACGGTTTGTGCAACTTAGGGGAGGTCCCCACCGGTACCTGTGGGCAGTGCAGCCAGGCCATGTCCCCCACCTGCCAGGGGGACTCACCATGCGAGCGCCGTGCACAACGTTCGTTCTGGGCCTGGGTCTTGGCCGTAGCCAATCGGGCCGCCTCCCGCGCCTCTGCCACGCAATGAACGGTGTCCCGAATATACTCAGGGAGAGGCTTGACAGGATCCTTCGCCCGCGTGCCCAGTTGCACTTCCACCGGCGGCACATTCTCGCGGCCGTACATCAAAAAGAAAGGTGAGTACCCTGTCGACGCATGTGGCGTCATCCGGTATGCGGAGAGCACCCCAGGGATATGCAAATCCCAATCAGCCTGCTTTTCGCTAACCGTATGACAGAGCATGGTCGACAGAGTCCGATTCAGCCGTTCAACCATCCCATCCATTTGCGGATGGTAGAGAGACGTCCAAACCTTCTTGGTCCCCAGTGCAGCGCACACCTCGCTCAACAGTTTGGAAGAAAAATTTTGCCCTTGGTCCGTGAATAACCTCTCCGGTGCCCCTTTGTCCATTACGTATCCTAACAGGAACGCCTCCATGATAGACGCCGTTGACTGGTCGGCCAAGGGCCAGGCCATCGGCCAGCGGGAAAGATATTCCACCCCGACCAACAAAAATGTATTCCCCCAAGCAGACGGCGGAAAGGGCCCCAAAATATCCAATGCCACCAACTCGTTAATCCGTGACACTTGTAT